TTGGCAGCAGTGTCTCTCCTTCTGCCCTAATACTTCGGGCTAGATACTCCTCATCACATCATCATATATATATATAACATCTTTTGTAGTGTTTTTCACAGCTTCCTAGGGAAAGAACTCCACTTCTTTACATGTTCTGCAATTGAAACTTGCATGCTAAGTTATTTCTTGGCTCCATAATACAACCCACTAACATGCTTCCAGATAGTTACACACACCAAATCTCACCAGAGACAAACTTTCTGTCTCTCTGTACCTTAAGATTTTGGCAAGAGCAAGAAAGTCCTTGCTAAACATGCTTCTAGTCCAAATCCAGACCGGTAGTTCTCATTGCACCCAAACTTCCTGCTGTCTGAGCATTTGTCACACTGTATTGTAACTGCCCACCAGATTTAAGGTGCATGAAGGCATTGGCAATATCTCTCTAGATCACTGCTGAGTCATCAAGAGCCAGCATGTTAGTACACACAGTAGGGATGCATGGAACAAATGGATAAATTCCTTCTCAATCATTACAACAGCTGCGGGTGTAACTGTGGCCAAGCACTTGCTGAGCATGTGTGGCATTCTGGGTTCCAACCCCAGTACTAAAAAAAAAATAAAAAATAAAAAGCTTTTCCAGGCTTGGTGGCATGCCTGTAGTGTCAGCTACAGTCTGAGACAGGAGTTTGAGACCAACCCAGGCAGCAATAGAGACTTCATCTCAAAAACACAATCAAAACAAAATAAAACATTGCGATGATGCACACCTGTAATCCCAGTAGCTCAGGAGGCTGASGAGGAGGATCATGAATTCAAAGCTAGCCTCAGCAACTTAGTGAGTTGCTGAGCAACTCAGCAAGACCCTGTCTATGGATAAAATATTTAAAAAGAGCTTGAGATGTGGCTCATTGGTTAAGCACCCCTGCTACAATCCCCAGTACCCAAAACTAAAATAAAATAGAAGCTGTATGACCACTCCCCCTTCCCCCAATTTGTCATGATGTTTCTGAAGACTTGTAAGCCTTAGCACAGAGAATGAAAAACAATTGCCCAATTTCAAACCTACATTTTCATCACTTTATTTTGGATAAGGAATAACACCAGAAATAAAATCCTAATAACCACAGTGAAATTAATTTGGCATGAAAAATCATCTCTGGAATATTTTSTTTCTAGGTATTTATTCTTATACTGAGAAAAAGCTGTTAAAATCTAAGCAGGAAATCTATTAAAACTTGTGGACATTTTAGAATATGATTAAACCTAATCAAAGATATTTGAAATAAACTAAGAAAATTATGGGTGTGTTTGAATATATTCACTATCATCTCACTGGAGACAAGGTTCCTCTTAGTCTTAGCTACATCATTGTTATCTGCTTCATTTTATACCTCCTTAAAATTCTTCTATTTCAAACAAAAAGTTTAAATATATCGAGGCTTCATGTTACTAACTATCTAACCTTCATTTAAGAGAGATTTTTTAATATTAAAAAATAAAACCTTTGCCAAATTCTTCTCACAGTACATTGGAGTACTAAAACTTAGAAAATGATCATGGTTACATAGTCTGAAATAATGCCTTCCATGCCCAAATTTATTCAACTTTTCTGAGGCCTGCTTCCTGTCACATGTTGTACTAAATCCCTGAGAGCAGAGAAGTGAATATAAATTTACCTCTGCCCTGAAGAATCTCACCATTTTTGTTGGGAGAAATGAACAAATTCAGATCATTGCAATGAAATGTTTGGTGGTGATGTCAAAATATGCATGGGAGGCTACAGAAGCACACAGGAGACAGACTACTTGAGACAGGTTGTCCTTTTATAACACAATGAAAGTTGCCCCCTGCATTGATATTAGTGAAAAAAAATGCAGGCAGGTGTTACATACAGATTCAATGTTTCACCTGACAGTTGTAGAGAAAAATGTAAAGCCAATGAAGTTCAACTTTTCTTCGGAAATTTGGTACAATAAATGTGTTGGGTTTATACTTAGAAGAAGTTAAATGTTTCGATGACCCTAATGGGAACAAGACAGTAAAAATCTCTTTGTTGAAATGCAAAAGACTTTCATGAGGGGGTGGGAGTGATTTAGGAAGGAAAGAAGCATGCCCTTTCACTTGGATAGACTTGGGTTTGAATAACACTCCTGATACTGGCACATGTGTTTTTAGAGAAGTTGCATAAACTCTCTAAAACTTCAACTTTCTAAACTTCTTTATATGCAAAATAAAGCTAAAACTAATTTACCCATGAAGTCATTATAAGCATTTAATAAATGCTAGTTATATAGTACTTATCAGATTACCTGGGCCATCTTTAAAGGATTCAAATGTGACAATAGCAATCTAATTGTAAATCAAGGCAAGGATTCCAGTATAGGATCCTTAGTTCCTGGCAGGGAGTAAAGTGCTGATCCCATTATAGAGGATCTGGAGTACTAGACAGGGGATAAAGACAGGGCTGTGGGTGACCTTGAAGATTATGGTGATAATGACAATGAGGTGACGACCACCATAGTTCCCCTCAAAGCTCAGAATATTTGTCACTGAGTAGAGTCTTGGATTTCCTAGGACCAACTAAATATTTATGTACAATCTTAAAAGTCTACTTCAGAAAAATCAGGTTCCAGTTAGCCTGCAAACTGTGTGGATACTCCCAAACTCAAAAAGAACTCCGAATCACTGGAATGTGTCATCTGGTGTTATGTGAATCACATCTTCCCAAAGAACACCTTCTCTATTCCAGTGGTAAAATATGGATGGTTAGTATCTTCTAGGCACTGAGTCAGAAACAAAGTTCAGCCAGCAGTGAGTGAGATGGGATGGGACGGCCTGGGACACATTCCTGGAGAGCAGAAAGAGTTGGAAGACAGTGAGAAAGTGACTCTGGAAGCAGAGCAGACACTGTACCTTGAGACTAGATGGATAGCTCACCAATGTCATTGCAGGGAAGTAGGAGGAAGAAGAGTGATTCAAAAAGGAATGAAGTCTGTGTGCCCATAGGAGAAGTCTGGGGGGAAATTCCATCTGGAGAGCTGAGGAAGGAGGCAAGCTATCACTAAAGATCAAGGAAGAAGAGCAGCAAGAGGGTAGCATTGTTCCACAATACAGAACTCACGGGGAACTCTTAGATGGGATGCAAGAGGAATAGTCAAGTGTCAGACAAAGCCCAAGATCAGAAGACTCAGAATGCTGGGGGAGCAAGGCAGACACCCAGTGCAGGGAACCAGGGCTTCTATTACTAGGTTTACATATAAGGGTGGGAACCGAGGAGATATTAATGGCAGAGTAAATCTCTAAATGCAAAATGTTTATTTCTACACTAAAGAAAATTTAAAAGCCATAAGAGCAGGATAATCCCTCTCAATGCCAGAACAAAATGGTAGCTGCTGGAGGGGACTTTGTTGCAGTAGTTGAAATTAAAAGCAATAAGGGAAGAAAAAGATCAGTTCATTCTATTTTGATAGTTTTCACATGCAGCCCCTCTAGAAAGTTGGGCCTGAGGAAACTGAAATCTTTCAAACTCTGTGAGAGATTGAAAATTTATTTTTAAATGTATAAATTGTTGCTTTTAAGGAAAAGTAACCAAAGATGATCAGTAGCATAATTTTCATGCATCTCATGTAGATGAAGTATTATGGTCCTTTATATTGTCATAAATTAAAGGATAACATTTCCATGGTGTTTTACAGTTTTCAAGTCCCAACACACTCATTATTTCATTTTATTCCTCAAAAACATTATGAAGTAAATGAAACTTTATGAAGTAAATGAAATGATCAGGCAAATATGCAGATATACAAATGAATACACAGATTAATGACTTAAGGTATTAAAACCTCATGTGGAGTCAGACCCAGATAATGTAACTCTGAGTACCGTCCAATCCCCAACATTTTACTKCGAACTGAGGTAAGAGAAGAATCTGTTAAATTATGCCCTTTGATAATCTTATCCCTGATGACATTAGATATTAACCTTCTTCTACCTATTGTCCCACCTCTTATGCTTTGCTTTTTTTTTGGGGGGGGGGGTAAAATTCCAGAATTTTCCTCTGTCCTGCACCTCCCTCTAACCTGAAAGGAATCTGAGCAATGACRGGAGTGAAAGCTTGGGATTCAGGCTGACGTGGATTCCAATTCCAGCTCTAAGACTCCACAACTTTCACCAAGGAATTTTTCAACTTGTTTTCTATTATTAAAAAAAAAATGGTGGCCACTATTATTGTGGAGGGTAATTAAGCTTTTTGAATGTGATAACAAATATAAAACATCTGGTACATAGTAGACATTTAATGACCATTGCATTTTTGCCTTCTCTTTTTCACACTATTATGTTACCCCGTTTGATTTAGGAAGGCAATATTGACTACATTTTGCAGATGAGCTATAAGAAAGATAAATTCTTAGGACCACACATAAGGCAAGAAGAGATGGACTTGGACCTCTATCTCCTAAGGCTCATCACTGACACTTTCAGTGTCCTGTCCTAACATCCTCTTAGTCTGACTTTAATTCCAGCCGGTGCTATAGTGGATGGTCCTTGTCTACAGACAACATTCCACTTTAGGCATTCCCTGTTCCCTATGTATCTCCTCTTCTCTGCCTCAAGTTTCTCTCTATCATCCCTAGGAATTCCAAGCAAGAAAGTCATGGAAGTACAGAGGGTTTCAAATCCCTTTGGGCACCTTTCAAGACTGCCAGTGGATAAATGCCCCAGACTCTCTTCTTTCAGACCCATGATTTGTTCTGAAATGCATTGAGTTTGGTGGGCTGCATTTTCCTACAGAGTAAACCATCTCAATAGCCTTCCCTATTTTGACTTTTCCTCTTCTATCACATTTTTCTTACATCCTCAATCCTGCTTTCTGGGTTCACCTCCCAAATGAATGACTTACACCTAAGTCCTTGTCTCAGACTTCATCTTGGGAAACCAAAGCTTGGGTAGAGAGAGGGAGAACTATTTGGCTTTGCTCTCATTGATGTTTGTGCTGCRTTTTGTCTTTTTCTGCACAGGTCACCAAGATGCTGGCAGTGGTTGTAATTCTGTTTGCCCTTTTATGGATGCCCTACAGGACTCTTGTGGTTGTCAACTCATTTCTCTCCAGTCCTTTCCAAGAAAATTGGTTCTTGCTCTTTTGCAGAATTTGCATTTATCTCAACAGTGCCATCAACCCAGTGATTTACAACCTCATGTCCCAGAAATTCCGTGCAGCCTTCAGAAAGCTCTGCAACTGCAAGCAGAAGCCAACAGAAAAGCCTGCTAACTACAGTGTGGCCCTAAATTACAGTGTCATCAAGGAGTCAGACCATTTCAGCACAGAGCTTGATGACATCACTGTCACTGACACTTACTTATCTGCTACAAAAGTGTCTTTTGATGACACGTGCTTGGCTTCTGAGGTAACCTTTAGCCAAAGTTGATTGATGAATTAAACGAAAATGGACCACGAAGTAAATGAGAATCCATGCAGTTATCCACAAAAGACAGAAAACAGCCAATGCTCAAATGTGAAGAGACAGCAGATAGCCTTTCCACTGCTCTCCCAAGTCCTGGCCCTAGGCAATTTAAAGCATGAGAATGATTCAGATTTTTCTTCTTACAAAACTAGTATCACAAAAATATGGGGGCAGATCTGTRAAATAGCTAAATGGGGAAAACTGAGAGTGTGGCCCCTTTTGTTTAATTTGGAAAATCAATTTTGTATAAAAGTTTCAATAAAATTCAGACATCAAGTTGGGTGCAGTGGCACCCACCAATAATTCCAGTGGCTCAGGAGACTGAGGCAGGAGGATCATGAGTTCAAAGCCAGCTTTACCAACTTAGAGAGACCCTAAGCAATTCAGAGAGATCTTGTCTCTAAGTAAAATATTTCAAAAAGGGTTGGGGATGTGACTCAGTGGTTAAGCGCCCCTGGTTCAATCCCAAGGACCAAAAAGAAAAAAAAAAATCCAGACATCAAGTTTAAATTATTCGTAATTATGTTACCAAATGTGAGCCCTCCAAATTATTTATATACTCGGTAATTTGGCAACATGCAGATTTTTAAATGTTTTCGTTAGGTATTTTACTTTAACAAAGTACAGTTATTTCATGAATATCTGAAAGTATAGGGTAACATAGGGAAAAACATTTATTCATTGAGTAAAAATGATATTTCTGACCAACATGTTGACTATATTAAAAATGTTGTTTATAAAATTTGGAAGTAATTTTTATATCTTACAGAGTAAAATAATCATTAAACTTTAATGTAAAATAAACCTCAAAATAACCAAAATTATAAATTGAGGAGACATATTGATTTGATTTGGAGATGAACCAGCTCTTATCAACTATTTAATGCTCCTAAGTGATGGATGGGCAGGAGCAATATTCACATTAAATAGCCATGAACCCACAAACTAATATACAATTAATATTGATATATAACAGCCAACACAAGACCAAGTATTTAAAATAAGGTTTTAACTTTTTCTCTGAAACTTTTAAGCAAGAAAATCCTTTCTGAACATTCTTGTGTATAAACTACTGAGCCATGTCAAGAGAATCCTTCTAACTGAATCAAGCATAAAAGTCTGAAACATTCTCAAAGTTATAGTTGTTATTCCAAGTCAGCCAAAATCTGGCTATTACACTTCAAGACAAGGACTCCCACTGAGCATTGTAGTCTATGGATTTTAACATGTCTGAAATTGTCTTTTCTTCCTGTCTGCTTGTCATTAGTAGTTTGTTGGTGTTTTTTTTTTTTTTCAAAATCTAGTGACATATTGTTTACCGATTCTAAATCAAAGCAACGTGAAAGTCTATTGATTTTATTTTTAATTGAGTTAAAACTGATATCATCCTATCATCAGTATCTTATATTTATAGTTTTGACTTAGACCTGCTATTCCAGGGATTATTAGACAAGTGTATATTTGACTCTTCCCCGGACATTTGTCAGCCCTGCTTTAATACCTTTTAAATGACTCACCTACTGAGATTGGGTCAATCAGCATCTCAAAGGGTATAAACTACCTGTGGTGATGGTTCAGTAATCACTGATTTTTTAATAACTGGATCTAAAAGTACCTGTACTTTTAAGCAACGCATAGACTAGCATCTTCACTCTACAGCCTATATTCCTATTTCATGAAGATTTTTCTGGAACCTAATTGCTAATGATGACTACCTGTCTCCACCTTCTGTGCTAAAATACTACTTCATGGAGAGTCTGTGGTCCAGAATCTCATTCCAGAATATGCTTCTGAAACTTTGCCTCATCTACTCCAGGAAGACATTCTATCATTGTATCAGTAAGTAAATGCAAACAAAGATTTGTAGAAAATACCCTAAAGTCTAACTGCATGTCACTGAATAATCAACTTTAACTGAATTTTCATCCTGGATTAAATATTAGTCTTGGAATCATATAAATAGAACACTAAAGTGACCCAGTCCCAAATCTTACAAGCATATATGCAAATGCATACAAATACATACACATGTGTACATAAATTGCTTAACAAAGGGGATTGGAATATATTAGATTTTTTAATTAGGGCAAAGAACCAATATTATTGAGTATCTATGTCTTAGGCATGCTCGAGTAAGTATTGAAATCAACATTATCTTCACCACAGTATCACTAGAATTGTGATTTCTCTGATGATAAGACCAGGAATCAGGCATTCATTCTCTAAATAGTATAGCTACTAAGGAGGACAAATGGGGAAAATATGTTTTCTTTTTTAAAGCTGACATACTAATTAAATTCTTATGACCTGATGGCCTAATTGCACACACACACACACACACACACACACACACACACACATCTATATATATATAATATCTTTGAAGAATGATAATATCAAATGTTGAAAAAAATATGATCAGTTTTACTTGATATACAGAACATAATATACTCCTCTGACATTTTGAAATTTAATATATGGGCTCAGATTTTCCATTTTAATTTTTAAAAAGTTATTCACTAATAATCTGTTAGTTTTAGACTATAAGGGAAATTCAAAAGAATGCAGTTCATGCTGTTTTATCTCTTAAGCAAATGCCATTATAACATTAAATGTTTCTGTATAATGTCCAATAGCAAGTTGGATTTACACAGAAGAGATATAACATTCTAAAATATTCTTTACCACACTAAACTAAATCACAAAGTGTTTCCATAAATAATTAAAACAATATGCTGTTGCATGAAAAATAAAGTGGTAAATAARAAACTGTTGGTGGAATTAAGTAATGTTATTAAGATATTCCCTTAATAAAATTCCTTGAGGCATTTTATTACTTCCAACTTTATTAATTAATTGCTGAGTATCATTGGTTACATCTTCTACCTGAAATATGTGAATATGGGGTAAAGATCATGAATAGGGCAAGTGAACATAAATTCCCTCTTTGGATTTCTTCAATATTGTGAGTATATTTCTGAAGTTTAACATACAACTCAAATATTCTCAAAGTCAAGAATAAATAGAAAAGTCCAAACTCTATAATCACTCTTAAAGAGATTAAATAAACAGAACCAAGCACCTTGATAATCAATGAAAAGAAATGACTGATTAGAGCTAAACTAGAGAAGTCTCAGTACACTATAGCTATAAAAACCTGGTACAGTGTAACTAAGTCTTAAGTGGATACTTGAATTGTTATATTTCCAGACTCTGTTGGAATAATAAGGACAATGTTTTGGTAAACGTGGGTTTACACAGTTTGAGACTGCTCTTAAAAAATGAAAGAGTTACTTCATTCTACAGTTTGTTAAATCTGTAAACATAATAGAAGAGAAAGATATTAACTTTTTAGTAGAAAAGATTTTAAATGAGTAACCTGCGATTCTACAAATTGTATAAATATATTCAGTATTATTTTTGCCTCTTGACTGCAATTCACAGAGGGAGTGGAATATTTGTGTATGAAATAAGGAAACTAGATGTAAATCACTGAGCACTCAGGAGCAAGGAGTTCATCCCAAGTTCAAAGAAAATTCTTTCAAATGTTTGGAATCATTTGTTCCCTTACGGAGGAGGGCACCATCATAAAAATCTCTAGCAATTAATTTTCTGTTTCTTTAGCTGTCTACAGTAAATAGTCATCAAAACCAAGATTTGACTGAGCAAATTTGTTGTCAGGATAATACAAAAGAGGAAGTCCTATAGAGCCCTGTAGTGATGGGTATTTTTTTCCTTTTCTCCCCCTCCCAATCAAACGCTCCTCCCTCTGTGAGCTTCAGTTTTCTAGGAGCAGGAAGATTCATCCAACTTCATTCAAGACTAAAACTGGACATCAAATATATTAAGTAAAACTCTTAAGTGTTCTTCAAATTTATTTATGTATAAGAAAATGTCTTTCTATGAAAGTTTTTTTTTCCTAAATCACTTTTAAATTATGGAAAAAAGTAGTGCTTCTGAAATTTCTATTAACCATGTCCTCATTTACATGATAGGACTCAGGTGGAATTGAGCTGCTTAATATAGCCTTTTTTTGTTTTTAAACAGAGAACTAGGCACAGGCTTTGCATTTCATAGGTTTCAGTCAAAAACCAGCAGCAGAACACTCAATAGATGCAAAACTGCTAAAGGGACCTATGGAAGAAAACAAAAGGTTTTTCCCATCCTTACAAAGCTCACAATCCAGTAAGAGAAACAAGACCCATATAATACCACCTCAAAGATATAACTGTGGGTACTAATTAGAATATGAGTTGGAGATATTAGAAATACATTTTAAGGAAGCAATTATTAGTGTATTTGGCAATGTCTTAAGATGATATCATATACAGATCATTTACATATTCTGATTCTATTTTATAAACTATAATTAGAAAATCCATCCATTTTAATTTTTAACTTCACTGACCACAGTCAAATAAGACCTGATAATATTTTCCTTGTATGTTTGGTCTATAAGTTATATGATCTCAAATCACTCAGGACCTAGCCTCATTACAAGAGTTATACTTTGGGGGAAATTTTTGTTACTGAAATGACAAAATAACTCCGACTATTATCATAGTTAGCACCAAATGAACTTCACTAATGCAAACTAAATATACATGGTTCCTATTTTAATATTCAAATAATCTCTTCTGACAAAAGTAATCATGAATATTTTTACACAATATCATCAGGCCTATTTACATTCTTCCACGCCAAGCACATTCATGGTAAATTCAATATATGTTGATTAATTTACCTTTTGGGAATTACATCTTGAAAAAAAAWTTTTAAAGGCCAGATAAAGTAGTACAGTAAAGATAGCACATTGTCCAGAACCTTCAAAGCTGAATGTAGCAAGAAAACAAGATCGTTTTAATGGCCAATAAGCAGCAAATCCACATAATGACTGCCTACAAGTCCTCATGGAGGAACATCTAGGTCAAGCCCACACTACAGACTCTCAACTGGAATAATGGAAATGCAAGCACTTTAAAAATTATAAAAGTTAAAAGGATGAGATAAACAATAGAGTCAGCTTGAGCTCCTGCAATCCTATGAGTGATTATTTCATTCTTCAAAGAAGAATGGCCTTAATTCTTGTG